TATATATATATATATATATATATATATATATATATATATATATATATATATAATTATAATTATTTCTTTTCATGTGTTTTTATCCTTAAGCGAAAATTTTGGATTCCCAAAAATTTCGCTTGAGTATAAAATAGAGATTTTGGCTCTTGTTTTTGAAACATGTGACCCCTTATGTAGCGAAGGAATCATAGTTTTTTAAAAATAATTACAATTATAATTTAGTCTTACTTTTGTATTGAGCATTGTTTTTTTAGCATAAAAACACAAAAAAGATTAAACTTCGGATTATTTACCTAACGAGTTCTTTCCTATTTTCTTACATATATAACGATAACGATATATATATATATATCGACATATACAGATCAGTCGTTCTCTCAACTCTTTTCTATGGTGCTGAAACTTGAACCCTGTACGTCAAGCATACAAATCAACTTGACGCATTTCACATGCACTGTCTTCGTTTCATATGTGATATAAAATGGGATGACAGAGTCAAGAACGTTTGTTTTGTTCATAACTATTAGCTTGTTCAGAAATTAATGTTTTTTTTTTAGAATCAATATTTCTTCCTGAATTAATGTATTTAAACAGGGTTTAAATCAGTCAAAATATCAACCCTGAAAAGCTATATATTTCCATCATCGAGACACAAGTTTATTTATGCCTTTATTATAAAACTCCAAAGTTTTAGACGCCGAGAAATCAATTAATGCAGTTTCTGCAACGGAATATCTTTGGGGTTAAAAAATTGTACAGCACCGTACCGTCCGTTACAAGAGAACCTTTTACCCCAGATTCTGTTAATGTTATCCGGAGTTTGAGAAAATTTATGACCAAACTTGAACTTATATAAAAAAAGTTAAAAATCACAGGCACTGAAACCATTCTAGCAAAGTTACAAGTTAGGTGGGCTGGTCATATTGTGTAAATGGATGAGCATAGACTTACAAAAAAGTTCCTGTATGGGTAACTACAATACCCCAAGATTTCAGTTGGATGTCCACACGTACCCTACAAAAAACAAATTGAAAGACAACTTGAAAACGACTCAATTATGATCTGAAAACCTGGGAAGTCCAAGCATCAAACCGAAACGAGTGGTGTAAGACATGTTTCAGTAACTTAAAGGCTTTTAAAGACCGTAGACTGAAGCAGCGTGATCAGCTTTGTCACATTCTGACCCAGAGATACCATCAAAATCCTGCTTTAACAAATTTCATCTGTCAGTTTAGCTTTGTCGCCCGGGGCAAGGCAGGGCAATTATCGCACTTAAGAAAGCACAAAAGAAATATGTCTTTACCTTACTTGTCTTTCTCCACAATAGCCCCTGCTAGTGTAAAACAAAAGGCACCACCAACTACTAACCCTCGTTTAATCTTCACGATAGTAGAGTCCACCATATATATATATATATATATTCTATATTCAACATCATCACTTGATAAGATACCAAAGGTGTTGAAACAGAATGGCTATTTTTGTAGTGATTTTACAACATATTTATGTTATAATTTTTTCGAATAAATTTTTATATATATATATAAATATATATATATATATATATATATATATATATATATATATATATAATTACTCTTCTAGTTACACTCGCAATATCTAATGAATGCCAGTTGTCAGTTATCTTCTGTTAATTCAAAGATCTCCAATGCCTTAATCAGGTATTGAACTCACAATTTTTTAGTTCCTGTCACTGGATCTAACCAACGCCTTTATCCACTGTGCCATTTGTCCTTAAGGACACATAGCACAGTGGAAAAAGACATGCCACGTGGAACTATAACAGTAATGGCATGCGGAACTTAGACATGGCACGTGGAATAGAACAGTCTACCCCAGCGATAGAAATAAAGGGTTCTGTTCGACATTCCAACCACCTAAAGAAGGCCGGAGCGTACAACGGCCGAAACGTTGTAATAAATCTGGCAACAAAGATGAGGACAATAGTCCGAATCATGTTAATAGTGTACATAATACCTCATATGAAAATATAGACAGATACTGACGGGCCGAAACGTTGTAATAAATATGGCAACAAAGATGAGGACAATAGTTCGAATCATGTAAATAGTGTACATAATACCTCATCTCAGAAATATAGACAGATGTATAGAAATACATTAAAATACTTTCAAGACGCTCCAATAGCCTAAGTTTTTCATATTCAGTGCGAAACAAAAGGCACATAAAATATTCCATAACATAAAAAACAGCCTTTCCTTATAAACCCATCGAATCCCAAAATTATATTTCTCTACGCACAAACTCTATTACAACTACAATCAAAAAGCATTTATTTAATCTCAACATAAAATCTCTCGCAACTACATTTGAAGTCATAAAAAATCTTACTTAATATAAAATGAATAATTTAAAATTAAAGGATGTATTTCCTCTATCACATGCAATGATTCTCTGGAAGAATATATTGGATAAACCTCAAGTTAATTAAAACATTAGATGAATAGAAAAGGATATTTTTAAAAAACAACACACAAAACACACCAGTTGTTCACCGTAACGAGACTGAACACCATTTTGTTTTAAAATAAAACATGATATTGTTATCCCATATATATATATATATATATATATATATATATATATATATATATATATATATATATATATATATACCAGGTTTAACAGCAAAATTGACCAAATCGTGTGACAGCAAAATTGGCCAATTGTTACATTAACATTTCCAGTGATGTATCTTCGAAATGATTAATGATATCTTACTGGAACTTCTCCGAAGTTTTTATAACACTATTAGACTTTACTTTGAGAAATAATGTTTCATTAAATAATACAGACAAGTTTTGTCTATTTATGTTAAGTAAAATGATAACTATAACATTTTTAGGCATTTAAAACAACTTAAACATGAAAACAATAAACAAAAATTTTAAATTCTTAAAGGTATATGCATAAAACAGTTGAAATCTAACCTGAACAAAATAAACTATGAAATCTCTTCTTAAATGCCTATAATTTATAACAGAAGCCATACTTCTCATATTTAATACTTCTTGTTTTCACTCTCGCGTGATCATGTGTGACATCACAAGCTGCGACGCGATTTTCCCTTCTGCGTCTCGTATACTCGAGTTTGTCGTTGCTTTGAAATTTTTCATGCAGCAAGAGTGGACTATCATTGTTGTTTCGTCCGTGTGTTGTTTGATATATTGAAATTGTCATCTTTGATAATGGCTTATGTAAGCCGAAAGCTTAGATTGAATTTAAACATGTATCAATATGGTGTTTTCCTTTCGTCTTTCAATTATAATGTGATTAAGCTTATCAAACAACATGAAAGGAACTTACTTAAAATTAATAGATAAAACTTGTCTATATTATTTAATGAAACATGCATTAATGAAAATTGCTGCCTATATATACACAATATATATATATATATATATATATATATATATATATATATATATATATATATATGGTATATAAGCAACAATCCTCTTTATACACGTTTTTATTTACTTTTTCTCGTGTTCATACATGTGTACTCTTTTCTGGACATAAAATTTTTTAAAACTATCCAAAATCTCTGCATATCCGAGTGATTTCGGCTATAAGTTTAGCTATTAATAAGGATGATTTTACTTTTAATTTTAACTGAATATGTGTTGTACTATATATTTTTATCTAGAGTTATAGAAAGAAGACATTGTGGCTGTGTAGACATTCAATATTACTAAGTGTTGGCTTTTTTTAGTATATTTTAATCTTATTTTTACATGTGTGATAAATAATTAAGATTGTATTTTCTACTAGTTTTTTTTCCAGATGGAAGCTGGTAGGTTTCTGTGTGTGTGTTTAAATGAGTTCTAATGTAGCTATGGTTGGGTAGGTGAAAATTAAATCGTCTGGATATAGATGTAGTAATGTGACCGATGTATTTATTTATTAATTTGATTCCTGATCAATCCAAACCCATAAATAATTACACCAGTTGCAATAGTGCATTTTTACACACTTTGTATATATATATATATATATATATATATATATATATATATATATATATATATATATATATAGAGGTTGCAGTGATTTACGCATCATCTGTTTGAGACTGATAAAACACACGCGAGTGTGATTGTTTCTCGAATCTGATGCAGAAGGTGAACTGTTGTTTTGAAGAAAAAAACAAGTTTATTCTTCTGTCCGCTATTGTCGAGGGGAGTTTCATTTCTAAGCAACGTGGAACTTCAGTATCTTGATTATGTTATTATTTTATATTCAATTCACATCTATTTTAATTTTGGCTGCTGTGAAATGTCCCCAAGTAATGTGGCTTGTGAACACCATTCCAAATGCCTCGCAAAGAGATGACCCAGTATTCATTCACGCGGAGCCATTTTTAATCATTGATCTGAAAATGCAGTTTTATAGAGCTGACAGATTAGACATTTCTGTACAAATATGGCGCCATGCATAACAGACAGATGAAAGCCTCGATCTCATGAGGTTATTTAGAAAAAGAATAACTTTTCTATGATATCTATTTTTTTTAGATCTGCAGTATATTTTTATAAATTAATTTCTTCTTACTTCTTTGTGCGCAGTGGCATTTGTCAAGATTATCTAATTCAAAAGGTCAACAGTTTTGCGTGTAGGCGCATGCGTCATTGTGTCACGGCGCATGACCATTTGGGGCAATAAAATAGAAACAAATAAGTGACGACAATGCAAACAGAACTCTGCAGAAACAATTCGATAGCTAAGAGCAATTTCCAAATATAAACAGCTAAATAAATTCTCCATCACGTGAAGTGCTATTTGCCAAGGAGTCAAGACAGGAATAAATAATATCGGAAAAAAAGAACTGTGTAGATGATTCGTTGCAGCTGTCTTCATGGGATTTATACCGCACCCACTTGTACAAGTAATTTGTTAGTTTTCCTTCTGTTTTTCTATCAGTATCTAGGAATTAATAAACATCTATCAGTGTATTCATGTATATCTCGGGCCTGTTCATATCTATCTATCTATCTATCTATCTATCTATCTATCTATCTATCTATCTCAGTCTGTTCATATCTATCTATCTCAGTCTCTCCATATCTATCTATATATCTATCTATCTATCTCTCAGTCTGTTCATATCTATCTATCTATCTATCCATCTATCTATCTCTCTCTCTCTCTATATATATATATATATATATATATATATCTATCTCAGTCTGTTTTTATCTATCTATCTATCTCAGTCTATTCATCTATCTATCTATCTATTCATATCTATCTATCTATCTATCTATCTATCTATCTATCTATCTCTCAGTCTGTTCATATCTATCTATCTATCTCAGTCTCTATATATATCTATCTATATATCTATCTATATCTATCTCTCAGTCTGTTCATATCTATCTATCTATCTATCTATCTATCTATCTATCTATCTATCTATCTGTTCTCTCTCTCTCTCTATATATATATATATATATCAGTCTGTTTTGTTCATATCTATCTATCTATCTCAGTCTGTTCACTATCTATCTATCTATCTATCTCATATATATATCATATATATATATCTATCTTTTATCTATCTATCTCAGTCTGTTCATATCTATCTATCTATCTATCTATCTATCTATCTATCTATTTCAGCCTCTTCATATATGTCTGTATATGTATTTTCTTATGTCTTGCTTGCTCATCTGTCTGTGAGTTCATACGTAACTCGATCCTATTCATTTCTATCTATCTATCTATTTATCTATCTATCTATCTATCTATCTATCTTATGAGCTAGATAGCTGCCACATGTATGTACCTTCATATATATCTTTATTTGCATTAAGTTCTTTCATCAAATTCGTGTATTTACTTATATTTATTGTCCTACAACATCCAGTCAGGTTGAGATGATTTCAGGATGCAATTCATTTTAGAAGAATGTAAGAAAGCAAACCTTAATATTCGTCTATATGCAAGACCGGCGTCGACTTGTTTGTGACTTGACTGCGCATTTGAGATACAGTTTATTTTGGACTGACCGCAAGGAGAAAAGACAACATAAAGTTGGAATTGCAATACGTAGAACAACAGATATTGTAATATACCATATCGCACAGCAGTCAAAAAGAGTGATGGCTACCGTCATTGTTGTTCATGGCTGTCAGACCCGAGTGATATAAGATTATACCCCAAATGAAAAATACGCTGTCTCGGCGGAAGATAAATTCTACACAGAGTTGAGTAAAATATCAGGTCATCCAATAAGTTCTCTCCGAATTTTAACTTTTTGTTAAAATGAACGAAATTTAAAGAGTATTTTATAATGTCTAATGGGGTTGAACATTATTTTTTATGTTTAGATGCATTTAAACTAATCAAATTTTATTTAAGAGAACAATAGAATTAAATTTTGCTTGAATAAAACCCTGCTAACATGGAAGTACCCAATAATCATTTGAGGCACATAATGCTTTATGAGTTCAAGAAAGGAAACTCAGCAGCCGAAGCGGGCTAGAAATATTCACTCAGTTTATGGAGAGGAATGTGTGAATGAAAGAACTTGGAGAAGATGGTTTGCAAAATTCAGAGGTGGAGATTTCACCCTTGAAGATGAAGATCGAACCGGACATCCAGTTGAGTTTGATGAAAAGTTTCTTGAAGCAGCCCTTGAAGAAAATCCTGCTTTATCATTTGAGGCATTGGCAGTGGTTCTCAGTTCAAACCATACAACTGTTCATCGTCATCTTCAACAACTTGGAAAAGTTCCTAAACTTGGAAAATGGGTGCCTCATGAATTGTCTGAAAACAACCTCAAATCCCGAGTTGACATCTGCTCTTCTCTCCATTCTCGCCAACTTGTTTCACCTTTTTTGGATAGACTTGTGACTGGTCACGAAAAATGGATCTTTTATCGGAATGTTAAGCCTCTTTGACAGTGGCTTGGTAAAGGGGAAAGAACCCCAGCCACAGCCGAGAAGGGAACTTCATGGGCAAAATCTTCTTCTTTCAATCTGGTGGGATCGCCAACGAATAATCCACTTTGAATTCTTACCACCTAATGCAACAATTAATGCTCAAATATACTGTCAGCAATTAGAGCGTTTGAAACAAGCTTTGAGGAAAAAAAACCTGCTCTAGTGAATCGAAAAGAGGTGATGTTTCATCAGGACAATGCGTCACCCCACACACTAAGAATCACGTCAGCAAAGATCGAAGAACTTGGTTGGAAGAAAATTCCTTATCACCTTATTTTCCCGATCTTGCTCCTTCAGACTACCATTTGTTTCGGAGCTTACATAATCATTTGGAAGAAACAGCTTTTGTAACACAGGAAGAGGTTAAAACTGACATTTGTGAGTTCTTCGAATCAAAGCCAAAAGAATTTTACATTAATGGATTTAGTAAGCTTGTTAATAGATGGAAGGAAGTCATAGATAATCAGAGAAAACACATTGTTGATTGAATCTGTAATTAAATGTAACATTTGGTCACTTGTTTTCTTTATTCAAAATTCGGACAGAACTTATGGGATGACCTGATATGTATAGCTGAGAAAAAAAAACATAAATCCGTGCATTATTTTAATGCTGCTACAAGCATGTTTTCAACACCAAAAGTTAAAATAGATGTAACTATCAAATTTAAGAAGACGAAAGATTTGTCAAGAAGTAAAAAGAAAGCACGGAAAAGTTGATATTCACATGAAATAATGCTGTCAAAAGAGTAGACGGGAATATCCTGTAACCTTCTTAACGATCTTGGTAAATGATTTGTAGAAATGAGGTGATAGCAAGTGAAAAAAATGCCTAGGAGACGCTGTAGAGAGCCACGATTGTCAAAGATCTGGATTGATATGACACATAGAAAAGTACAATTTACTCTTAAGAAGATTTAATTTAACTGCATTAATCTTGAAAGTCATTAGAAGTGAGTTATAATACACATTTCGGACATGTGCTACGTTTTCTTTGTATATATAAAAATAGTGAGACATTTGCCATAGCCAGATAGAATTTAAATCTATTGCAGGAAAGTTAAATAATTGATTAAATTTATTTGATATTTTGTCTATATTTCTGAGATGAGGTATTATGTACACTATTTACATTATTCGGAATATCGTCCTCATCTTTGTCGCCATATTAATAAATGTAATAGTAATATTATGGCGACAAAGATGAGGACAATAGTCCGAATAATGTAAATAGTGTACATAATACCTTATCTCTGAAATATAGACACGACCCATTCATTCAATGCAAATAAACCATTCACCAAAAGACTTCACCCTTCATCTTTTACTCCTACATATACCACAATACCGCATCCACAAAGGGAACCTAAATGTTAACGCCATGATTAAAAATTTCATATGTACAAATGTTCATAATATATATATATATATATATATATATATATATATATATAATTATATAATATTAAAAAAATATGTTTTTTCGCTACACAGTTCTAACCATGTTTCATTTTTGATATCTATAAGAACACCGGATTATATATCTTACTGTTCTTTCTTTTTATATATATATATATATATGTGTGTGTGTGTGTGTGTGTGTGTGTGTGTGTGTGTGTGTGTGTGTGTGTGTGTGTGAAAATATGACGATGATGCGAAATGATGGGGAGGGTTCTGAATCCCAATACAAACAAAATAAAAACAGAAACTAACAGAAAATAATTGACGTTTGTAAGACCCGTCCACCCCAGAAAAAAAAAAAATCAGAGTTGCCGCTGTATTCTGTCATCAGGGGTATGGGAAAATAAATGTATGGCGTGGGGAAATCACAGACTGAAACAGTGGAGATAAAAAAAATGGGCCAAAAGAAACTGGGGAGTTTCTCATCTTAGCTCATAACAGAAGTAAGGAGCCGGAAACGGGCCAGGAACGACACTCACTCACATTAACTAAGTATACAAAAGAGGATCTGCCTTAACCAGGGTGGGGGGTTGCAGGAAACCGCCCCGTTCTGACGAAAGAGGACTTAAAAAAGTAACTCAAAGATAACGACTTTCACGCGAAACAAGCTCGTTACTTTTACCCACCTTTCGTTGAAATCTGTAGACACCAAACGCTTTCTATCTATCTATCTATCTATCTATCTATCTATATATATATATATATATATATATATATATATATATATATATATATTCTTTCTATATTTGAGGAAGTTGAAAGGATAATGGAAACAAAAAGGACACTTATATTTAGAATCAGAGACAGTAAAATATAAACATACAAATGTATTGGCTGAATTTAATTGTTGCATTTACAAGCATATTCACCAATGTGTGTTGTTTCAACCTACGCTATGGTTGGCTTTGCACTCGCTAAATGCTACGAGACGAGCTTGCTAAATTTCTAGGATAGATAGTAAGAAAAGAGCGTTTTGAAAATGCGACACTCATTTTGAGGCAACAAAGAAATAATGCTATCTAACAGTAAGGTATATTCTTGAAATCTAAGGCCCATATTCGATGTAAATACTGAAGGAGTACAAATGGAAAACAAATCACAATTTATTTTAAATCGTATTCATTTGCCTGCCATAATCTCCAATGACATATGTTCGATAAAACCTTTGAAAATATCAAGAAACATTTGCGATAATACAAATATTCACTAAAATATGCATTTTACGTCTGCTAAATTCGAAGTGGGAAGAATAGTGAAAAGACGAGCTTTACGAAGAGGATAGGAAATCGTAGAGAACCATGAAGCTGATCAGAAATTACACTTATAAGAAGAAGAAAGGGAACAACACTGAAAAATTCTTACCCATTCAGTTATCATATTCTTGCCCGCCATCCTGAAAGATATCTGCCCTCGTGATATAATTTATAAGTAAAATGATCAAAAACCCTAACGATGAAATTGAATTTGAAAATATAAGCGATAAAAGACTGCGCATTTTTGTATCTTTAACGTGTAGTGGACCGTGGCTGTAATGTTGTTGAGTAGAAGTAGAAGAAACACATGTGGGTTCAGATTTTCCTTCTAGCTGGCCCAACTACATGAGAAAGTTGGATTTTAATTAAGTCCAAAGAAGAAGGCAAAGAAAAACAAACAAAACACAAGACCGATAATATATGTATACTAATATATATATTAATAACAAGTTACATAGAAACAGTTACAAAAGGACAAAGTGTGTGTGAATATTATATATGTGCGTGTGTGTGTGTGTGTGTGTGTGTGTGTTGTGTATTTTTGGGAAACGCTATCTCTTGTGAGCGTTCACATTTTTGAGGTGGTAAGGCTGGAAGCCTGAGGAAAAAGAGAGATTTACCTCAAGGTGTAGGCGCCCTGAGGGAAAAAGAGAGAGAGGCGAAGGGTCAACGGCTATTTATAGCCAGGGAAGAGAGACCCCTGGTGAAAGAGTTAAAGAACTAAAGGAGGAGTTAACTCCGACACACGTTTCGATATAAAAAGATAACGATACTTCTATTTCTCCCCCACACCATTTCCTTCTTTTGGTATTAAAGACTGGCATCCTCAATAAAACAGTTATCTGTCTGTAGAATCTGCACCAAGTCTAATGGTTAGAGGCTCGGAACCCAAAATCAGAAACGCATGTTCGAATACTGGTCAAAATAGTTATGTTAACTTTTGGATGACAACACTTCCGAAAGGTACTTCTCCCCCTCAGCTAGAGTTTAAATAACAAGGCAGACTAGACTCTCTAATCGTGATTGACATACAATATAAGGGAAAGATAACATTGAATTCAAAACAGTATGTAGAACTAGTAAGGTATATTCTTGAACCGTA